CTACTACTACTACTACTACTACTATTACTACTACTACTACTACTACTACTACTGCTATTACTACTACTACTACCACCACTATCGAGTGCTTTATTTCCATTATATATTACAAGACACCTTTCCCGTCTACAGTCAGGTACCCATTCCCACTTCGATGAAGTGAGGAAAATTCATACAACATACCTCTACCAAGGACACAACTTCAGCCCATGGCGTCAGGGTTCAAATCCATGACCCTTCAGTCACAAAACACAAACGGCACTTCTGTTTTTGATAACTACTCCAAATCAGTCTTGAATTCTGTGCTTCAAATACATCTAGGATATAGAGAGATCGAGATCAAGAATCTTTCTCTCTTAAAAACAAAAAACAACAACAACCAAATACGCACCAAGTGCGCGCTAAATTTTTAAAACGTCAATATAATGAAGCACACATTGTGTGGGTCTAAACGAACTCAACGTGTTGGGGACATGACAACACCAAATGTATCTAGAAAAAGTCAATACAGTTAAGTATGGCTAGAAGTAGATCTATCCATCGACACTGCGAAGCCCATATCCAACAGAGAAAGATATCGAGATTCTAGATCTGGAAATAGTAGAGGTAGCTGTCGCACATACACGACGAAGCACGAACTTAAACGGAAGTAGTCCCCAGAAAAATATGAAATGGCTAAAGGTAGAGTGAAAACAGCCGAGAGCTTCGATTTTCAGGAAAACCCATCAAACCTGAAAAACAAATATTTAGTTTCCGAACTTTAAAAATATGCCCACGTAACCCTTTGTGACAATTCGTAACTGAATCATATTTTTATAGATTTAATGGGCACCTGTGTAAAAATGTATACTCCCCTAAAAAATGCGGGCTTAGCTGCATTATAATAAGATAAATTATGCTCTATGCGACTTTTTATTTCGACAACTCTCATGTCACACTGATCAATATTGAGTTCAATATTTTTTTTGGCTGTGGCCTATTTGAAGGCCACATTGACTACGGGATAGGCTTTGGTGATCTTTAAAGCTGTTCTCTTTTCAAACAAAAATGCCCACAGATATATACAGAAATACAAATAAGTAAAGACATGATGAGCCAAAGCGGAGTGTAATGGATTTTCAATAAATAAATGCCTCCCTCAGAAAAAAAGTCTCTTTGCACGCGAATTTTTACAGGGATAAATCATTTACTGAAGATTACACTTTCAATGTATAGAATTAGATCTAGTATCTTCTTCTTCTTCTTCTATCCCGTGGTTGGGGCAACCGTTGGGGCACAGCTGCATTGGAAAACCAGCTCTCGCCATCTATTTTTGTCCTGTGCTCTCCTCAGATTGTCACCCATTGTCTTTCCTGTCCACTCTTTCATGTTGTCCTCCCATCTCCTTCTCTGCCTTACTCTCTTTCTCTTTCCTTGCAGGATTGTTTTGGCAAGTCCTGTGGATCTTGTGACATGCCCATACCATTTTAGTTTTCGTCTTTTCACCGTGGTCAGTAGATCTTCATATTGTCCCACTGCGTTGGTGATTCTCTTTCGTACTTCGGCATTTGAAACGTGGTCTTTGTACGAGATGTCAAGGAGTCTGCAGTACCATCTCATCTCTGTGATCGGAATTTTTTTCTCTAATTCTGCTGTTAGTGTCTACGACTCGCAGGCGTATAAAAATATTGAGATGATCAGTGAGCGCATTAGTCTAATTTTTTAGCTGTGCGTGATGTTTCTGTCCCTCCAAATAGGCTTCAGTTTTGACAGCGCAGCTGTTTGCGCGATTCTGGAGAGAATTTCTGGTCTTGAGCCTTCATCTGAGACGATAGATCCGAGGTATTTGAAGCTGTTGACGGTCTCAAGTTTCTCGCCCCTGACTTTGATGTCCGCATTGATGCCATCGGTGTTATTGGTCATTAGCTTGGTTTTCTCGGCACTGATCTCCATGCCGTAGGCTGCTGAGGTTGTGTCCAGCCGCTCCACTAGTGTGGCGAGCTCCTGTTCTTTTCCTGCTAATCCATCGATGTCATCGGCAAAACACAAGTTAGTAATTGTCCTGCCTCCAATACTGATTGTTCCATTGTGGTCTTCCAGAGTGTCAGTCATGATTCGTTCTAGGAAGATGTTGAAGAGAGTGGGAGAGAGTAAACAGCCTTGCCTCACCCCGACCGTTGTCCTGAACCAATCCCCCATGCTGCCGTTAAGGTAGACTGCGCTGGAGGCCTTGTCGTATAGTTGTTGTATGACGTTGATCAGGTTGGCGTTGATGTTATATTTCCTCATGGTTGCCCATAAGGCTGCATGCCAGACCCTGTCGAAGGCCTTTTTAAAATCCACAAAGATATGGTATAGGTTTTGTTGGTGTTGGAGGTACCTCTCGCACAGTATTCTGAGGTTGAAGATCTGTTCTGTTGTGCTGCGCCCTACTCTAAAGCCTGCATGCTCTTCGGCAATGATCTTCTCTGCCTTATGTTTCAATCTGTTCAACATTATCTTTAACATAACCTTACTGGGGTGGCTTATTAGACTGATGGTGCGGTAATTTTGACATAGTTGCAGGTTACTTTTCTTGGGGAGTGTAATCACTAGTGATTTTGTCCATGGTGTTAGCCACTTTCCTGTCTGCCAGATCTTGTTGCAGATGACAGTAAGAGCGTTTATCATGTCCTTTCCCCCTGCCTGTATCAATTCTCCTGGGATGTTGTCCACTCCTGCTGATTTCCCCTTCTTCAGTGCTTTAACTGCTGCTTCAACTTCTTCTCGAAGGATTGGGTGGCTATCGATGTTGGTTGCTGGGGGAAACGTTTAGAATCTCGGGGTTTCCCGTGGCTTTGTAGTTGTACAATTCTGAGCAGTATTCTGTCCATCTTTTCAAAATGCCTTGTTCCTCTGTCAGGCATTTTCCTTGTTTGTCTTGAATGGTAGTGGTGCGCCCTTCTTTAGTGCATGTCAGGTCTTTTACTAATTGATATGCTTTTTTGCTGTTGTTTGTCCTCAGGCTGCTTTCGATTATTTGGCATTGTTCCTCGATCCAATTTTCTTTTGCCCTTTTCATACTTGTTTTTAATTTTTTGACTGACTGCTCTGTACTCCTTTGCACCATCTGGTTGCTTCTTTTTCTCCTTTAGTTTTCTCCTTTTGTCACACAGGTTAAGGATATCAGTTGTGACCCAGGGCTTATTGACTCGTCGGTGTTTTCCGAGGATCTGACTGGCTGTTTCAGTCACTGCTGTATTGAAGGTGTTGATCCACGCGTCCATGTCTGTGTCATTATTGTTACCAGCATCAATGACAGTGAGTGGTGCACACTTTCCTCCTATCATGGCTTGGAAGGCTTCTGCTACTTCTGGGTCCTTTAGTTTTTCCAGATCAAACTTCATCCTTGTGTTTCCTTGCTTTTTAACCGTCTTCAGGTGGAGGCGAAAGGTCATCATCACAAGGTCGTGGTCGTTTCCAACGTCTGCTCCTGGGAATGTTCGTGTTTTTCCAATTTTGACACTGGACTGGGAGCGCTTTTTCACCATGATGTAGTCAACCTGGTAGTGATGTTCTCCACTTGGACTGTGCCATGTCCATCTCCGTGATGTAGTCAATCTGGTCGTGATGTTCTCCACTTGGACTGTGCCATGTCCATCTCCGTGATGCTTTGTATTGACCAAACGTGTCTGTCAGCACTAGGTTGTTATAGCTGGCAAATTCCAGGAGCCTTAGACCTTTTTCATTTGACTCTGAGTTGCAGTATTGTCCGCATGTTCCTTTCCAGTTCTTGTATGCATCATTTCCTACTTTTGAATTCCAGTCCCCTTGTACAACGATGATGTCTTTTTTAGGGGTCTGGTCTATCACTTCTTGTATCTGGTCGTAGAAGCCCCCCACAGCCTGTTCATCATAGTCTGACGTCGGGGCATATGCCTGAATGATAGTGATGTTGAATGGGACTGCCCTGAGGCGGATGGTAATAAGCCGGCTAGAAATAGGGCGGCAGCCCATGACCGTATTCACGATGTCTTTGTGAATAAACAATCCAACGCCATTCATATGCTTGTCCTCTTCTCCACTGAAGTACAACTTGTGGCCTTCTTGTGTCGTGATCTCCCCGAATTTCTTCCACCGTACTTCGCAAAGTCCAAGTACGGCCCATTGATTTCTGTTCAACTCGTACGTAAGCTCTTCTAGTTTTCCGGCTGTTCTCAGCGTCCGTACGTTCTATGTGCCAATGGAGATGTTGTTTCTGGCACGGATCTTCTGTGCATCAGTAGCATACTTTTCACCTCCTTTCTGGTGCACAACAGCGGAAGGCGCGGTCCTTGGTGACCCGGGTGACGACCGATCCGGTATAGTGTCTGAGCTGTTAATCATTTCATGTGGTGAGTCTTGGGCAGAGAAGCTTGGCGGTGCCCATCCCTCTCCAAGCTCTTAACCGTAGGCCGATGTCCACACACATGATGTGGGTCGCCCCCGATCGCATACACTTGACCGTTGAGCTCAGCTTGGAACCCTTTCGCTCTGACCGTTGGGTCCGTCATGGGACCCTTCCGCTCATGGCCGTTGGCTGTTTGATGCTGCTCATCCGCCCAGTGGTGCAGTGTAAATACCACCCCCTCACATGGTTTAGTCCGCCAGCTGAAGCGGTGTACCATTCAGTGATCTAGTATACATGTACTAAAATATTCGCAGGATTTGCACACATCGAAAAGCTTTCAGAAAACAAAATTATGGTCCCGAGACTGGTAAATGTCGGATCCAGAAAGTTTCTGCCTCTTTAAAACCCGCTGTATCGTTTTCAACATTGAACTTTCATGGACGAATTGAAGGTGGAATTTTCAGTAATTTATGTTAATCATGCACGACCGTTGAGACAAGCGACTTTGGGATGAACAACACCATTAATTATATCGATATCCTTAATTCCATTCCTGTACCTTCAGGAATTTTACAGGGGGAAACGTTCCAAGGACAATAAAACATAGATCTAGCCATGTTTTAGAGAGTCGAACTGGGATAATCAAGCACAGTAAGTTATCTGGGTATTGGGTTTTCCCTCATATTAACTATGCAGTCATAAGGCGTTGCGTAAAGCAGCTTATTGTCCGTTACATATTTTTTACTGACTCCCTTTGTACAATGTAGTATGCTTTGAAACATGAGATCGTTTCTGCAGCTACAAGTAAGAAATTGCTTTGTAATGGCAGGTGTCAAGCATGTTCTAGAATTATCTTCAAACTCTGATCACAAAGCCAGGAAAGCTCAAAACATCACACAGTAGTTCCCCGTGCTCTGTCCATCCTTTTCCACCACCCCCTAAAAATAAAACAACCTTGTGGGTGAGCATGTATGTATGTATGTATGTATGTATGTATGTATGTATGTATGTATGTATGTATGTGTGTATCTGTATGTATGCGTGTGCAGGTGTATGTATGTGTGTAAGTGTTTGTGTGTGTGTGTGTCTGTATAAGTCTGTGTTTGTGGTGTGTATGTGTGTGGTGTGTGTCGTATGACATGTGTGTGTGTGTGTGTGTGTGTGTGTGTGTGTGTGTTTGTGTATGTATGTGCGTATGTGTGAGTGCGTATGTGTGTGGTGTGTGTGGTATGACGTGTGTGTGTGTGTGTGTGTGTGTGTGTGTGTGTGTGTATGTGCGCGTGTGTGTGTGTGAGTGTGTGTCTGTGTGTGTGCGTGTGTGTGTATGTGTGCGCTCATGTATCTGTACGAATCTGTGAATCCGTGTGTGTGCCTAAGTATATCTGTGTTTGTGTAAGGTTGTGAGTGCTTGTGTGTGGCTTGCTGTAAAAAAATAATTCTAAAAGTTATTTTCAAATGTTACAAGAGTGTGATCTTTTTAATCTATTTCAGTCATTTAGTTTATTTTTATTTGAAGCAATAGAAAAAGAAAGAAAAACGTAAAAACAACTTCTCTCTTGTTTGTTTCCCAAATTTTCTTTTAGATGTATTTCAACATGGTCAAACGGATGGCTCCTACAAAGGATTGGAACAATTAGTGGATTAGAGTTTTTAAACTTATGATTCCAAGACTTGTGGAAGACTTTCTGGGCTTGAGTTAGGAAAACAATTAAACACACCAGTGACAACCTGCGTGACAGTCATTGTCCAAGGACACTCCTTGACACTGGCGCCAAAACGGAGGTCAGTAACCACTTGTCAAAACTACAGAGGATCAATTTTCTAATTTTTTGTTTCTGTTTGTGTTATGCAACCCACAAAAAAAACTTAGGGTTGAGGGACAATATACCCCTCAGCAGGGAGAAGATCAGATTACTCAGATTACGATCCAAACTATCTGCTCTAGGTAAGCTTGCTATACCTTATTATTTAGGTTATGCAAACGTATGCAATGACCTTAATTGCGATCAGAGACAATGTAGGGGTTCCTCAAATCCTCAAGAAGAGATCAGATTACAGCCTGAGACAATGTGATGGGCTTCATTTGACAATGAATCAGAAATACATAACCTGTTGCGTTGGCTCTTGCTATACAGCTATACAGAGGAGCCAACACCCTAAGCCCCCCCCCCCCCTTTTTCCGCCTCCAAACATGTGCAAAAAAATATTCTTTATCAAATCCATTTTCACATCCTGGTTTTTTTCTAGTTGCGTGCACACCTCTCATACCAAGGTATTAAAAGAAAAAAATAATACCCTTGTACACTGCTTATTTTAAAGGAGGCGTGGCGCTTTTAAACGACTCCAGGGCGGGCATAGTTGTACTTGGGACACTTGGAAAGAATCTTTACCTCTAAGCCAGCAAAACCACAGAAAGAAGTTGAAAGAGAATTTAGTGATTCACAACATTTAGAGCAAGGTAGTAGTAATTGTTGCTGAAGTGCTCTTTATTACTTTTAGAATAGTATAGTTCCTTGTGGACACCCGCAAAAAGAAATGTACATTTTGCCTATTTTAGGTGGTTTAATGGAATATTGATGTCACACAAGATAAAACCTTGAATAGCCTCACAAACGGTTTCGAGTCTGAAGGTGCTTATTTTCGAGATAAAACTCAATTGAAACACTTACCAGGTGGTGGAATGGTTGTTACAACTAAAACGCCGGGTTTATCCTCAACTTTTGACAATTCTCTCTCATCCAAGTTCCAAACAAGTAAGGACTTCATTGACAGGAAACAAAGAAACCACGTTCCAAACTAACTGGTCTGGAGGAAACATAATACTTATTATTAAAACGTCCCCCCCCCTCCTAAAAAACCCAGCAACCCCCCCCCAAAAAAAAACAAAAACAAAAAAAAAACGCTTATCAGCAGGAGCCATAAAAACCAAACGTGTACATTTATTATATACCAATGTGGAGATATGGTAATACTTCATACAATGTTACGTTATCCTGTATTGTTACTTCCTTGTACTGCAGATAGCAACTCTATTCAAAGGTTTTCTTAGAAACGCACCCTTATAGTGTCGAATGTTTCGTAAGGCTAATAAACAATGACAAGATTTTACGACTGTCATGGCATTTATGGAATTTTTTTACGATGCTTGTATTTTATAAGATGTCATTATTTTTAACTCTATATCATCGGCTGACTGTGTGCGATAGGTTACTACAAATATATTTTTCTGTAAAAATTCAGAGCAATAAAATCCCCAAAATGCAGGCCTTAGTCAAACATCATTAAGATGTTATCGCCGTCTTTGGCAGTTGCAGTACATAATAATATAAACAAGAAGGAAGTTTTGCAAATGGTTTTACCTGGTTGTGGAGAAGACGAATTCTTCATGATTGTGTTGTTCTTATCAAACTTATTGTGCGCTGAAGTGACTTGATTGTCCGATGCCGAAAGAAGTAAAAGAAGCCCCTCTAAATATGAAACAAAGTTGAAGAGCACACACACACATATACATTATACACACACACGCACACACACACAGACACATGCACACACACACACACACACATATATA